TCAGAGCCAATCGCGGCGGCCTCCTCTGGCACGCGATGATTGGTTCCGCGGGCTGGGGGCCCGGGCGCGTAGGACGGGACTTGGGTTGTGGTTGTTCCCCATGCCTGGCCTGAGTGCTCAGGTTGTCCTGGCCTGAGGCCCCTTCCATCCTCGGGGCCACGCAGGTGTGGCCGCCTCGGGCTCGGCCCTGGCATCCGTCCCGGCTGTTGGGTCGGGGGACCCACACTCTCACATCGTCCCCGCTTTCAGACTTGACAGCGAACCCTCTGACCACAGGAGTGGGGCCGTTTCCAAGTTGTACGGGCAGGTGGCCCAGCCAGACCTGGAGTTTACGGCCCCCGCTGGCTTCGTGGTGGACAGCAGAATTTGCCTAGCTGCATTAGCACAGCTAGACAAAGTGGTCCTTAATTGCTGGACCTTTGAAAATCTCTCCTGAAAGCCTGGATGGTTAAGTGGCTCAGCAGGTGCAGGTCTCCGGACAGGAGGGTAGAAAAGAAATCAAAGCAGAGCGGCCGGCCCATCAGGGGCTGGCTGCCCGCATGGCCCAGGGAGAGGAGGCAATCAGAGCCAGGAGACTGAAGGACCTCCCTGCCTGGGGAGCGCGGGAAGTCTCTGGAGCATCTGGAGCTGGAAAGCGTGCTCTACTTTGTTCAAATACAGTTAAAGGTCCAGAAAGGAAGGAGACTCAGCTAAGAGTCAGGGTGGTCCTCAAGCAAGCACCTGGGACAAGGTCATATCAGGTGGACATTGTCACCACTGTGCCATGTGCAGGGCAGCTTTGCCTCCCGGAACTTGCATGGCTGATTCTCTGCCTGGAATGCTCTGCCACCAGACACTCACAGGGCTCCCACCTCCCTTTGGGTCTCTCATCACCTTCACAGAGGGGCCCCCGGACCATTCATGAAGTAGTAACCCCTCACCATCCCTCTCTGATCAATTTTCCTGCAAAGCAGAAATCACCATGTAACATATTTATTATCTGTTTCCCATCACTAGAAAAATTAGTTCCAGGGTAGGGACCTCGATTATCCTCGGTGCCTGAAACAGAGCGGTGTGTGTATGTGTGTGTGTGTGTGTGTATGTGTAGTAGGGGCTCAGTAAACATCATCAAGTGAATGGTATGTCTCCTTGGAGGCCTCACACCCCATCACCTGAGGGTGAGGGATGGGTCCAGAGTGGGCTCAGGTCTGACCCATCAGTTGCTGGAGAAAGGGCTGGCCACATTTCTGAGGGAAGGCTGTCTGGGTCGTGACCTAGCATCCCGCTCAGGGCTGAGAGGGATCCAGAGGGCTATGCAGTAGCGGATAGTGGGTGGGGGAAGAATGAAGGCTGAGCAGTGGGTGGACTTTTGGGAACCCTTCTGAGAGCAACCATGCTAGGGGGCAGCATGCAGTGGCCAAAACCACAGAAATGGCTGCAAAGACTGAATTTCAGATCCAAGTGTGAACTAAAATAAAATCTTGGCTGGGCATGGTGGCTCATGCCTGTAATTCTAGCACTCTGGGAGGCCAAGGCAGGAGGATTGCTTGAGGCCAAGAGTTTGAGACCAGCCTGAGCAACATATTGAGACCCCCATCTCTATAAAAATTAGAAAAATTAGCCGAGTGTGGTGGCATGTGCCTATAGTCCCAGCTACTCGGGAGGCTGAGGCAGGAGGCTCTCTTGAGCCCAGGAGTTTGAGGTTGCAGTGAGCTATGCATTCTAGTCTCAGTGACAGAATAAATAAAATAAAATCTTAAGCCCCACAGCTGACTGAATTGACCCCCTTCTTGGACAAAGGGACCCCAGAAAACCCTAAAGTTGACTTGCCAGCCATGAGAAGGGAGGTCAGACACACCTGGTCATGCCCCCTCCCTTCTTAGTGATGTCCTCTGTAACTCATTAATAGGCCTAAGGCTATGCAAGACAAAGCTTAAACCATACTTGCAAGCCATCAATTTACTTAACAGATTACTTGTGTTTGGATAAATGTCTGGTGGCTTATCTCTGATTAACAGACATCCTTCAGTTATTAATAAAACATTCCAAGCTTTTAGACAAAGTTTTATTTCTTTAATCAATTATACATCAAAGAATCTTTAAACCCACCTATAAATTGTAATGCCCTGCTTCCAGATATCACGCCTTTTCAGGCTAAACCAATGTACACCTTCCATGTATTGATTTATGACTTTATGTGTAATTTCTGTCTCCCTGAAATGTATAAAATCAAACTGTAACCCAAATAGTGAGACCACTTGCTTAAGGCTTCTTGGGTGTGGCTCTCCAGCCCATGGTCACACATACTCAGCTCAAAATAAACATCTTTATTTTACAGTTTGGGTTCTTTTCCGTTGACAGGGGGAACAGGAGACACTTCTCCATGTGCTTGGGAGATAGCACTTTCCCTGCAGGCCCCACCTGCCGTTTAGGAGGGCTCTGGAGGGCCCCGCGTGCGGGCAGGGCACATGTGGCCTTTCTGCCCACTGAGGCTTGGCAGGTTTTGCTGGAAGCTCTGCTGTGCATTCCCAGCCAGCAATGTTGGGTGACAGGAGACCCAGACAGGCCACCTCCCTGGACAGGGCCCTGACAACGATTCTTCACTTGGCCAAACTTTAGTCAGGCTTCTGAATCTTCTGCTAGGTCCATTTGTGCACTTCCTTGTAAAATCCAGTTTTAGCAACGAACCCTGCTAAAGTTAGTTCAATAAGAACCCCCCATCCTGGGAATCTGATCACCTTCCATATCTGACCAGGCGACATCTGGGCACTCTGGCCTGTCTTCGGCTAGAATCTCCCTGATTCTGAAGTGTCCTCTTAGTAATTTTCCACCACTGACACCCACCCTGCTCCTGGGCTACATATTCATACTTGTCCATTCTGTGTTGGGAGTTGAGCCCAATCTCTCCCCGGCACTGTAAGACTCCACACAGGTGCTGTGGCTGAGCATCTTGGGCGGATTGGAGTGGGAAGGACATGGCAGGACCCCTAGAAGGGAGGCAGAGGGCTGTCCTCTGGGGTGGGGTCATAATGGGAGGGCCGTCCCAAGCCAGAAAGCCAGCAAGCCCAACAAGCAGCTCCTCGGGCCTCAGCCCAGATTGGCAGCATTTCCTGCAGGGTGTGGAACCCAGAGCTGCAGTGGGGGCACAGGAGGATGTCCCCCCAGGATAAGAATGCCTAGGGACACCTGAGCTAGGGCAGTAGTGTGACCTGGGCTGGGCCCCCAGGGCCTGGTAGAGTTCGGAGATGGAAAGGGTATAATTGGGGTCTGGGGGCAGGGGTGGGGGCCTGGGGCCCTGAAGGGGCAGGTCTGCATTAAATGGAGATTACTCTGGCCAGGGATGCCTCAGAGAGAATGGGTGAGAGGGGGAGAACCTGGGTCAGGAGGGTGGAGAGAGCCTGCAGGTGTCCCAGTGAGAGGGCAAGGTGCTTCCTGCCAGGCAGGGCACCGCCGTTCCACCCACAGGGCAGGCAGGGTGCAAATCTCTGTGGACTGTCCTGGCAGAACGGAACCGTGGAAGGAATGGCCACGCGGTGTGAAATCACTGTAGTGTTTATTGGCTGTGATTCCATCCGGAGAGAACACACGAGGGCCCCCGACATGCAGGAGGGGCGCAGGGACGGACGGACAGACAATACCCACGGTCTAGCTAAGCTCGGCGGCCCCGGGCGCCCCATGCGCTGGGAACGGGATGGTGGTTTCTGCGAGAGGACGCCCTGTCTGCTCAGAGCTGGCTTTTTAAAGTGTGAAAACAGGCATCTAAAAAAGACGTGGACCCGGAGGAGTCAGAGAGGGCACGGGGCGAGCGAGACAGGCGGGGCGGGCGGGGCGTCGGTGGTCAGTATTGCAGTCTGGTGTTATGGCTTCTCTAAAGCTATGTAAGGTTGTGAGGGTCAATGCCGAGCCACGCCCCTGGCCCGCGACGCGTGGACACTGAATGCATTTTCCATGTGGACAGAAAGGGCCGGGAACCAGGCGAGGGCCTTTCTATCAAGACAAAACTCATCAAAAACAGAAGACCTCATTTACCTGAGATTCAACATATTGTGATGCAAATTAAACAAGGACAGAGGAGTAGGGCTGGGCGGCTCTAGGGTTTCTGCTGACTCTGCGCTAGGACATCCCCGACCCCAGCCGAGGGTCCTGCGAGCCCCGGACACCGCACAGCCCCGTGGAGAGGGAGCGGGCGCGGGGCGGGGCAGGCCCCCGGTGGGCCCTGGGCCCTGGCAGGTCTCCAGACCACGCACTCCCGAGGGCTCCGGTTTCTCAGGCCTCTCCAGCTCCTGCCGAAAGTGTGGGTGCTCAGAGGTGAGGGCAGGGCCCCGCGCAGACAACCGGCAGCCTCCCCGGTGGGGAAGAGGGGACCCAGCGAGGAGCGGCCCGGCCCACGGCTCTCCGCCCGCCCGGGACGCTCTCTGAGCTCCCCCAACCCCACTGCTTCGTTTCCCGCGTTTACAGGAGAACTCGGCTACGGCGTCCTAAGAAGCAACACCTTCCAGAGGAGTGAGGGGAGAAGGGAAGGAGGGAGGGAAGGAGGCAGAGATGGAATGAGAGGGAATGAGAGAATGTGAGGGGTGCCGATGGAGGTGGGCCACGGGGACCGGAAGACGCCGAGAAGCTCCATCAGCAACCCGGGCGACAGCGCGGGAGGAGGGTGACGGCAAGCTGACTGGGGAGGGGGGCTGGGGCCGAGGGGGAGGAAGGGTGGAGGGCGGGGGGCCGGGCTCCCGCTGCGCGCCGCAGCCCCTCCGCCTTCCCCTATGGCTGTGCTCCTAAATTGGGCCCGCTGGAGCGCCCGACGCAGGGCGGCTCTGGGCGCGGGCGCTGCCGGGCGCGCGGGCGGTGAACGGCCAGAGCAGTAAAGGGCGTCCCGGGCGTGGGCGCCCCAAGCCCCGCGAGCAGAGGAGCACTGGGCCGATCCCGGGCCGCGGCGGCTGCAGGGGTCCGGGGGTCGGGCGCGCCGGGCCCGTTGGGGGTGGCGGTGGTGCGGGAGGGGTGGGCGGAGGCTCCCGAGGCGTGGTGGGCGCGGGAAGGACAGACCTAGAGCTATGGCTTATATCGGCGTGGGGGCTGCACTGGGCTCCCGACATCCCTTCGGGGTCTCCGCGGAGGGTCTTACGGGGCGGGCGGGGGCGGGGGCTCCGGGGTCCCGCGGCTGCGGCGCCGCGTTACTTCTTGAATATGTCCTGCAGCGGCCCGGGCAGGTACTTGATCACCGTGTCCAGGATGCTCTCATCCTCCTCCTCCTGCTCGTCCCCGCAGCCCGGCGGGATGGCCTTCTTGGGCCGTGTCAGGCTGCCCTCCGAGTTGGCCTCCATGGCGGCCTGGGCCTCCGCCTCGCGCTCCTCCTTCTTCTTGATGCCGTACTGCGGGGAGAGGGCGGGATGGGGGCGCGCACTCCCAGGGCTCCGGCCGAGGGACCCCCAACCCACCAGGCGCACCAGCACCGATGGCCCCAAGGACTCCGGAAGGAGAAGGGACCCTACCCTGGAGGGAGCTTGGGGGTTGGGAGACCCCACGGAGAATGGGGGTGTCTGAGAGCCCACTGACCACGCGTCTTGATGGGGGGAAGTGGGAGAGGGGGGCTCGGATCCTCCTGGGGGTAGTCAATGCTGCGACCCTACCCTGGGCTCCTCCCCCTGCCCGTGGTCCTGCCTTCCAGGACGCCTCCGCCTGGGGCAGGGAGGGGCAGTGGTGGAAAGAACCCAGACGTCGCTGGCAGACTCTCCTGCCCAGCTCCTGAGTTCTGCGATGGCGCCCTGGTGCCTGGCCCAGGGACCCTGGATGCCGCCCTGCCCCAGTCCCTGATTTCCAATTCCAGGGGTGGGGAACCTGCAGCTTCAAGGCCACATGTGGCCGTCCAAATCCCCTAGTGCGGCCCCTCGACCAAATCCAAACTTCACAGAACAAATCCCTTTATTAAAGGGATTTGTTCTGTAAAATTTGGATTCGGTCAAAAGGCCGCACTCAAGGATCCAGAAGGCCACATGTGGCCCCGAGGCCACAGGTTCCCTAGGTCTTCCTGGATGTTATTAAGGTAAGGATGGAGAAGAGGTCATCCTGGGTTTGACGGGCCTCAATCCAGGAGAGCGTCCTTGTCTGAAACAGAAAGGGACACCCAGACACGGAGGAGAGGGTGGTGTGGAAATGGATTAGACTGCAGTGGTGTCATGCCCTCCCTTTTGGAGTTACTCTTTGTACCAGTACCAGGAACAGGGCCTAAGACCAAGTGAGAGAAAGGGAAACCACACTTGCAGGTTCTCAATTTACTTAACAGATCACTAGAGTCCCAGTAAATGCCCAGTGGCTTGTCTCTGATTATCTTAAAACATTGGGAGCCTTTGGACAAAGCTTCATTTCTTTAATCACTAACAAATCAAAGAATCTTTAATCCCACCTATAACCTGCTGGCCCCCTCCCCTTTGAGACGTCCTGCCTTTTGGGGCCAAACCAACATACAACTTCCATGTATTGATTTATTCCTGTCTTTGTGAATGTGTGAAACCAAACTGTAACGTGGCCACCTGGGACACAGGACCTCTTGAGGCCATTTGGTCCGGTCAGTTGGTCACACACATTCAGCTCAAAATAAACCTCTTTAAATTACTTTAGAGTTTAGTTTTTTTTCTGCTAACAAACTTCCAGCTGCCTTGGGGCTGGTGGGAACAGGGCAGGGCCAGGCTGGGGGCTGGTGCATCTAGGGGCAGAGGCTCCCCCTGGCCAGGTCCAAGGTCCTGGGCTGCAGATTAAGGGTGGCAGCAGAGCAGAGGTGAGGCACTGGCAGAGGCATTGATGGGGGAGCATCTAGGAGAGTGTGCCAGCAATTTACAAGATCAACAAAGACTTCAGAGTCCTACTGAAGAGCACGTAAGTGCGGGGTCACCAGCCTTGGGGAGGGGGTGTTTCTGCCAAGGAGGACCCCCCTTGATCCCCGTTCCCCCGTTTCTGGCTTATTTCTTTTCTCCTCACCAGCCCCTCCAAAAAGAAGGGGTGGGCTCTGCTCCTGCACCTGGTGCCTAACCTGGGTCTCCAAGGAGGCCCCCCTCCAGATGGGGGACTACCTGTGTACCCCCCACCCCTCAGGGCAGCCTCAGCAGCTATCCTTTGCCCTGGGGCTGTGGGTGGCTTCAGGTGTGGGGGAGGCAAGAGTACTTTCAGCCACCATGCTCCCAGCCCACCTGTGACCAAAGTGTCTGGGGGCACTGGTAAGAGGCCATCGTGGGCTTGCCTCAGCGCCCTCTGCATCGCATCTTAACAGAGCTGGGAGTGCAGGGGCGGGGACGGGGGAAGATGGCAGCAGGAGCATCTGAGCAGGGGTGGGCATGTCACCCAGAGGGCCCTGCTAGCACAGAACCAGAGCACTGACACATCAGCAGGAAGAGAGGACCAGGCACCAGCTAGTCACCCTCCCCTGTGCCCCACCAGCAAGAAGAGCCAGGTCCTTGTCCTAGGCCACGATGATGGTGTCCCTTCTGGGACAGCCTCGCTGGGACAGGCAGTAGCCCCAGGCAGGGAAGGGGAGGGAGGAGCATGCACTCTGTGTCCTGTGGGCGGTGCATGGGCTGTTGAGAGAGATGCCACCAGGAACTGGGTCAGGCCAGAGAAAGCTTCCTCCAGCCAGTGGCACGGGGCCGGATGGGCTCTACAGCAGGAGAGTGTCAGTCCACACGGCAGCAACACGTGTGCCGTGGTGAGGACTGCAGGCCTGACCCAGGAGGCCGTGGTTCCAAGGTGTACACTCACAGCAGAGGTGCTCAGGAACATGCGTGTCACAGCTCGAACATGCGGGGTGTGGTTGAACAAAGGGACCGCCTTGACTGGGAAAGTGACCTCAGGGAGGTGAGGGTCCAAAAGAGACCTCAGGCCCTGCCACCAATTCATGGGTCACTCTGAGCTTGGCCAGAAGTGCCAGTCACTCCTCTGAGGTTCAAGGTCATTCTGAGGCTGAGGCCACTCTCGGCTAGACCTGAGGGTCAGGGTTACTCTGTCTGGGGCTCAGGACTCCTGAGCTGGGTGGCTCCCATGTGGTCTGCCTGAGACCTGGTTCTGAGGTTCTGAGACTAACGCCCCGCCACACCAGTGCAGGTGGCCATTGGTCGTTGTGCTGGGCATCGGCTCTCCAGAAACAATGCCCCAAGACAGGACCACAGGAGAAGCTGGGCCACCCTGTGGACCACTAGAAACCACACCCTGTGGTGCTGGCCACTTGTGGGGAGCTCAGAGCGGACCTGACATATAGGAGGAGACACTAAATCCTGAAAACATTGTGCTGTTGAGAAAACACAGCAACGGGTGCTAATCAGTACTGAGAACCAATAATATGACCAGACAACTAGCCCTCAGCTGTCAGTAGCTCATCAACAGCTGTTACCAGTGGTTCACTGGGACCTGGCCTAGAGCAAGCCCAGGATGGGGGGTGGGGAGGAGCCACGTGGGGCTCAGACCTGCCAGCCCCAGACTGAAGGAAGGTTCTGGCTCAGCTGCCAAACGTGGGTGGCTGGAAGCGTATGCAAATCCAGCGGTGCACACACAGACGGGCTGTGGGCATGCAAACTGCACACAGGGGCCAGTCTCCCCTCCTGGCCTGGACCTACCCAGATGGCCTCATGCTGGGAGGCAGGAGTGAGGTGCTCCTCTGAAAAATGTAGCCACCCCCTGAGATGAAAAGTCCCAGGCTGTAGGCTGCCTGGGGAGCCTGGCACTCAAGAGGACATGTCACCCAGGGCCAGCCCTTTGGTCCCCATCTGCAGAGAAGCCTTGGACATAGTGACTGGTGTGAACTAAAATAAAATCTTAAGGTTCACCCCCGCCCCCGCCACCGGCTACTGAATGGACCCCCTTGGCCAAAGGAATATCCTAAAACTAAATTGCCTGCCACGAGGAGGGAGGTCACACATGCCTCATCATGCCCCCTCCCTTCTTGGGGACATCGTTTGTAACCCATTAACAGGGCATGCAAGACAAACCTGCAGGTCCTCAATTTATACAACAAATCTATGTCTTGTCTCTGATTAACAGACCTTATCTTAAAACATTCCAAGACTTTACACAAATGTTTTTAACCAATTACAAATCAAAGAATCTTTAAGCCCACCTATAACCTATAAGTCCCCCCGCCTTCAAGATGGCCCACCTTTTTGGGCCAAACCAATGTATGCCTCCCACGTATTGATTTATGACTTTACCTGTAACCCCTGTCTCTCTGAAATGTATAAAACCAAACTGTAACCCAGCCACAGCGAGGCCACTTGCTCAAGGCTTCTTGGGCGTGGCTCTGGGTCATGATCCTCAAATTTGGCTCAGAATAAATCTCTTTAAAATTATTTTACACAGTTTGGTTTTTTTCCGGTGACACTGGGCCCCCCCTTCTCTGACCAGCCTCCAAGACGCCTTGGGGGCATACACAGTCAGGGAGGCTGGAGGAAGCCTGACCAATGAGGACCACCAGGCACAACACCTGAGGGGAGGGTTCCCACCTGTGGGGAACAGGGAAGGTGGAGGGGTTGGGGTACCACCAGCAAAGGCTTGAGTGGCAGAGGGCCCTGCAGAAACTGGTGTGGACATGGGGTCCGGGGTGTCTGGGTGCAACCGGGCCTTCAATGCAGGGAGGCTGGTACTTCCAAGGACCTGTGGGGCAGGTGGGCATCCCAAGAAAGCTGTTCTTATGAATGGGTGTGAGGCCTCAAGTCCTTGTCACCTCTCACTCCCTACTGGGCCCAGAGCAAGTCCAGAGAGCCAGGCTGGTGCCAGGATAGCAGGGCCCAGCCCCTCCTTCTGTGGGCGTCGGTATTCCTGGGGCTTGGATCCCTTCAGAATCCCGGTGTGACCCCAATAACTATCCTCACCATCTGGGCTGCATCCTATTTTTAGAAATAGCTTTCTTTTTGAGACAAGGTCTCACTCTATTGCCCAGGCTGGAGTGCGGTGGCATCATCTCTCCGCAACCTCAAACTCCTGGGCTCAAGAGATCCTCCCACCTCAGCCTCCTGAGTAGCTAATTTTTCCATAGAGATGGGGTTTCATTCTTGCAGGTTGGTCTTGAACTACTGACCTCAAGCCATCTTACTCCCCCAAGAGTGCTAGGATTACAGGTGTGAGCCACCACCACACCCAGCCTAGAGGGTCCTATTTTGAGGTTTTAACTTGGATATTTCCCCATTTCTCTTCCCCATATCCGGACTGCTAGAGGTTTGTTGAATTTGCTGGGAATATGAATTTCTTCACAATTTCCAGGAAAATAAGAGAAAACAGTAGTGAAGGTGAGTTACAGGGGCCTTTCTTTGGACTTTCTGGAAGGCTGAGGGTAGGCAGGCAGCAGGTGGGCACGGCCTCCCAGCCTTGGCAGGGTGGGGGTGGGCTGGGGCCTCCTGGGCAGAGGAGCCGGCAGCCTCCAAACCTGCACCCAGGAACCCCGCACCAGCCTCCAGCTCTGGACCCCCATACAGCAGCTGCGGAGGTGCTGCCCCGTGACTTGTTCCTGAACCCACCTGGGGTGCCTTGTGGGCCCCAGAATCATCTCACTCTTTGCTCTGGCCCCACGGTGAGGTTCTCAGGCCTCCACCTCCCCCCAGGTGTGGCCCATTCCCTGTGAGGGGCCAACTGCCACATGTAGGCTGAGCCACGGCAGTCTCTGACCCCTGCCACCCTATCCCCAAGCCCTTGGGACCTGGCCAGGACCACTCTGTGCCTGTCCCATCCTGGCTCTGGGGACCCCACAGAATGAGGTGGGCCTGGGACAGCCCTAAGCCCCTCAGGTGGCCAGGTCTGCCTTCTCACTGTGACACAGACGGATGGACACACAGATGGCTTCCCAGCCCAGTAAGCTCCCAGCCCCCAGCCCCACCCAATGCCTGTCAGTGTCTCCCCTCAGCTCTGCCTGGGGCACTCTGTGGCTCTCAGCTCGCTCTTTCTCGCTGTTCCCTGTCTCTCTGCCGCTGTTGCTATCTGGGTCTCTCCCTGTCTCTGTCTCTCTCTGTCTCTAGCTGTCTCTGTCTCAGTCTCTTTCTCTCCCTATCTCTGTCTCTGTCTCTCTGTCTCTCCCTATCTCTGTCTCTCTCTGTCTGTCCCTGTCTCTGTCTCTCTCTGTCCTCTGACCCCCACTCTCCCTTCTGCTCCCATCCCAGCCGGCGCTCCCGACACCTGCGTCTCTGGGCACAGCCTACATGAAGTCTAGCTGCTCTGCTGTGGTCTGGTCAATGGAGCGTTTTCCCAACTTCCCCACGGCCCTGAGCCTGGACTCAGGTTGAGGCAGGGTCGGGTCTGCTGTGGGGAGTGAGGGGGCCGTGAGCTGTTGTCACAGCAGAGTCATAGGAGCTTTCTGCAGCACCCCCAGAAGACACGTCCAGTGGCCCATGGCGCAGCATTGGGGTGCACCGCCCCCATCCCCATCACGGGTGCTTTGTACCCTCCATGGTGCATGGGGGAGGGGAGGGGAAGGGGAGAGGCTCAGAGAGCTGGGTGAGCCCCCCCGTGCAGCCCACTGCCCTCCCCAGCACTGCCCTCTGTCCACCCTGGGAGGTCCATTTGAGGCCCACCAGAGCCAGCCCTCCCTGCTCAGCTGACAAAATGGAAACAGCTTCTCTTCCTGCTCAGGGTGCCTCCAGCAGCAGGGAGGACCCGGGGGTCTGAGCATTCCCACCCTGCACCTAGGGCATCTCAGCAGTCCAGGGCCAGGGACCAGGCGATCCCCTTGGGGACACCACTCCCCCCACCAGACCTGCTGCAGCCCCACCCTCAGAGCCAGGCCCCTGCCTCGGCAGTGCCCGGAACCCTGCCCCACACCTCTGTCTGCCCACGGCCCTGCCCTCACACACCCAAGGCCCCGTCTCCTGCCAGTCCCAGCCAGCCCGGCCGACTGCGGGCGCCCATGGACCAGGCCGGAGCAGCTGCCCCCACTGCCTCCCCAGCCCCGACCTGGCCACTGGAGGGACAGACTTGTGGCTGTCACTGTGCTGGGCCCCTGGGCCCTGCTGCAGGCTCAGCCTTGCACTGGGCTCCTGTTCTGGGCCTTGGTGTCCCCGTCTGACGGGCATGGTGCTCTCTGGCTGCCCCACTCCTGAGGGAAGTGGGAGCTGCCGCGGCCAGCTGGGTGCCCCCGCCTTGTGCATCCCAGGAGGTATGAGGCCCTTCCCTGAGGGGTGTCCCCACCAAGCCTCAGGAGCGTCTCCTGGCCAGGTGGTTGTGGCCTGGGCGGCCTGGCCCCACCTCTTCCTGCAAGGCCTCCCCTCAGAGTCCAGGGCCCAGAGACCCCATGGGGACTGGCCAGCCTGCCATGAGGAGCAGGAAGGCCCCACAGAGTGAACCCCAATCCAGATGTGGACACTGGACACAGTGGTCACTCCACTGTCCTGCCTCCCCCACATCTAGCCCCCTCCCCAAGGCTCCGAGAGTATGTTCTGAGACCCTGATGGAAGGCCCTGCCCTCTCCCCCGGGACCCCTCCACTCCAGGCGGGGTCCAGGGCCCCACCGAGCCGTCTTCCTGGCAGGCGATACTCCCGCAGTGCCCGGCCCTGGTGCCCACCTTGTCGCGGATGCCCTGACGCATGACCTCTCGCTCCGCCTCCATCTTGGCGTACTTGGCCTTGCGTTCCTCCTCCTCCTGGCGCAGGGCCTCCTGGCGCTCCTCCTCCTTCTTGGCCGCATCTGGGTCCTTCTCCTCGTCACCCCCGAGCATCTTTCCCATGTCCTTGGTGGCCCCTGAGTCAGAAAGGCAGCAAGTGAGGCAGCCCTGGTCAGACACCGTGTCCAGGGCTGGGCTGGCCTCCCGGCCGCTCCCTGACCCTTCAGCCGCCCGCCCTGGGGTCTGATGCTGTCCATCCCCTCAAGGCAAGGGGTGCTCCATGTGGGAGGGGTGCGAGTGCAGATGTGCTGATTTGCAAGAGGTGGGGCTGCATGCCTTGTCAGATCCGTGTGTGGCTGTGTCTATACGTGTGGCTGTGCGCTCGTGTGTGGCTGTGCATGTTCGTGCATGCACGTGTGGCTGTGTTATGGTGGTGTGTTTCTGTGTGCAATATGTACTCGTGGCTGTGTGTTTGTGTTTGTGTGTGCTCATCTGTGTGAGCTTCTGGGGGGCTGGTGTGTGTCTTCTCTGGGGCCTGTGTCCAGTAGAGGTGGTGGAAAAAATGGCCGGACATGCAGACGCATAGTTGGGGAGCAGGGCTGGGACAGGTGTCCACGGGGCAAGGCCTCCAGCTCTGACTGCCAGGACGAACACTGGTGCAGGGGCTGGCAATGGCTTTGGCCCGGGCTGCAGGTGGCTGCCTGCCACTGGCACTGAGGCCCTAATTTCTCCGCTGTGCAAGCCACCACTTTTCTCATGAGCTCCTGAATCACAGGCCCCACAAACACCTCCCTGAACGCCTTCTGTGACTCGGCCCACAGGACAGAGACATGTAATTACAGCCTCTGAACATGGCAGGCACCATGGCGAGCCCTGGCCTTTCAGCAGCTCCAAGGAGCAGAGCAGCCTCCGCTGCGCCCAGATGCACGGCTGTCACTGAGGGAGGTGGCCCAGCAGGTCAGCCAGTCTCAGCCAGGAGCAGCCAGTCCCAGGGTTGCTGGGTTTAGGGGCTGGCTGGTCTGGGGCTCCTCAACTTGTGTTCACATGCCATGGCCAGCAGGAGCAAAGCCAGTTATCCCCGTCACCTCTGCACGGGCGGACCTGGACCAGCCTCATTTGTGAGGCGACTACAGCCACAGGGCTGCCCCATGTCAGCCTCTGTTCTCCCAGGAGGGCAGACGGGGACCAGCAACTGCCATCCTCCCCCCCAGCCTCTGAGCTCTGGCCTTGACATCAGACTTCCTGAGGACTGCCCCGGGAGGGGTGAAAATGTGTCTGAGTGGGCAGGCCTGGCACCCCGTTGCCCCTGTGGCCGGATGTGACCCCCGGCCCCTCCCTCTGACTGCTCTGGTTCTACGTTGTTATGTGCCTGGCGCTCCTGACACCGCCCTCACATCAGCACTCTGGTGCTGAAAGTTCCTTGGGATACGGAACTTAGGAGGTGCCCTTTCCTGCAGATATCTGTGCCACGTGCTGCCTCTGCCACCTACTCAGAGTGACCGCTGTCTCCTGCAGGCAGAGGGAAGGCCATCAGCTGTTGGTGGGAACAGCTTTTTGGTTGTGTGCTCTGGACGGCAACCTACACGTCCTCAGGCTGGGCCGCGCCTACGCCACGTCAGCCTCCCCACCCCAATATTCTGGCTGCCCAAAACTTTACCACAGGTGGTGGGGCATGGGGAACCAATGCCATCTTGTTGCCCTTGTCACTGTGGGGACAGGGGGCCGGCCTATGCCAGGTACTTGGCCAACGGCGCTGATCTGGACTCTAATAGATAACCAAAGGCCTTGCAGTCAGCTTTTAGTCACATCCACAAAATTTGAAAAGCAGATTTTATGCCAGTAACTCAAGGGAAACTGGGGCACAGAGTAGGGTTGCTTCTAGATTCCAACGGCTCCCCCAGATAATCAGACCGGACTCTCTCTGCCTCCAGTGCTGTGTCTCTGGCATGTGGGGAGGCAAGGACAAACCCCATGGTCAGCACTGCTCTTGTGCAAGTCTTACTCCCGCTGGGACAAGCTCATTCACACCAAAGTGAGAGCGACCCCCAGCTCCTTCTCCCTCCTAGAAAGTGCTGGCTTCTTAACGCGGAGGTGGGTGGACCTGGTCTCCCAGCCTCACCTCGCTCCTGAGAGGAAAGGCTCGAGGTAGGGCTGGAGTGGCTGCCTGCCCCTCCAGGGGCCCACAGGCCTAGGATTGAAGCGGGCACTTACTGGGCACCGGCTGTGTGTTGAGGGGTGAGCCCTGCTGCAGGGTGCCTGCTGGGGGCTTGCCCTGGGCCCCTCCCTGAGTGTCAGTGCCCCCGCTCGAGCCCTGGCCTGGTCCACTTGGCCAAAGGGGCCAAGGGAAGACACCCTTTTAAGGAGGAAGGAAGGAGCTAGCCCTGATGTCGGGGACAGCTCCAGGAGGGTGGATGACCTCTCTCAGCCAGGGGAGCCGGCTGCAAAGCCACTCTGTGTCACAGGGGACCTGTTCCGGGGGTGCCCACAGCACAACCTCGAGAGTGCCACAGCAGCACCCACGCGCCTCCCAGTACTGCACGAACCGCTTCCGCAACCGCTGCCAAAAGCTGGGAATTAGGCGCCGCCAGGACGGCAGCAGAAACTGCAGGCAGCTTGTTCCTGGCACAGAATCCCAACGTGCCATTTGCTCTCCTGGCACCAATGCCGCAGCGGAGGCTGGTGCAGCCTGGCGGTCCCAAGTGCTGCTGCGGAGCGGGAGTGGGGCCTGGGGTCCTCGATCCATGCCGCCTGCCCAGCGCCCCGTACCCGTGGAGGCAAGCCTGGCCCACCCACACACAGGAGCCTCTGCGCCCATGGTGCGTGGGCTGCGGTTGGTGCAGGTCCTCGGTCCACCCACAGCCCCTGGGAAGAAGGTGCTGGACATCACCCAGTGACAGCACGGGAGCTTCCACATGGGGCTTGGGTTGGCACACCCTGCCAGCCTCGGCCCTGGGACACACCCACCCCAGGTCTCTGACTGCAGGACTCGGGGTGGAATACGAGGCAGGGCCGCAGCACCAGGCCTCCCACGCCCTTCCCTGTGCCCCAGTGCCCGCCTGGTAAGAAGTGCGGTTGGGGGGATGCAGAAATCCAACCACAGCAAGTGACGGCCCTCGCCAGCGCCCACCATTCCTGAGTGAGGGGTTGCAGTACGCGGTGCAGGCGAGACCAAGACCAGACTCAGCCGCCCTGGGGGTCGCCAGGCCCACCCTTGATGAACAGGGTCCTTCCCTTGCTGCCCCTACACCACCCTCAGAGTTGTCCATCCCCTTCTGTCTCCCAGCCCCCAACCCTAGTCCTCCTCCTGCTAGTACCCGGCTCTGGGAAACGTGCGCTGGCAGAGCTGAGGCCGGGAACAGGGCATGCACTCAGGCCTCGACGTTCCCATCTGGGCCTGTGCCCTCGGGAACCTGTGCACCCACATTCTCCCCGAGGGATCCCAGTTCCCAGAGCTCTGCCGGACTGGCTCCACACCCCAGTGTCTTCCCGGGCATGTTTTTGGGGACTTCTTATGTACAGTAGCCATCCTGGTCAAAGCCCTACTCAGCATCTGCTTACGGTGTGAGTATGCAGTTACAATGGGTGCATGCGATTTGTTACACATTACACATAATTGTGGAGTTTTTTCTTTCCTTTTTTGTAGATAAAATCTTACTCTGTTGCCCAGCTTGGAGTGCAGTGGTGTCACCATAGCTCACAGCAACCTCAAACTCCTGGCTCAAGTGATCCTCCTGCCTCAGCCTCCTGAGTAATCCTCCCACCTCGGCTCCCAGAGTGCTAGGGATTACAGGTGTGAGCCACTGTGCCAGGCCTATATTTATTTTTTAAATAAATATTTTAAATAATACATAAGTGAAAGTTGATTTTTTTAAACTTATTTTGAAATAACTTCAGACTTACAGAAGAGTCACAAAAACCCTATAAAGGGCTGGTGCATACACGGGATGCAGCCGCACCAAGGCGGCCTCTCGCCCGACACCGCACTCACCAAGGCCACAGCCTGGATGCTGTGCTCATCCTCACCCGACTGCAACTCCATTTGGAAGCCACCACTTTTCCACACATATCTTTTTCTGTACCAAGATACTAAGTTGGGACTACAGGCCAGCAACACGATGCCTGGCTAATTTTTCTATTTAGTAGAAACCGGGCCTCGCTGTTGCTCAGGCTGGTCTCGAACTCCTGAGCTCAAGCAATCCTCCCGCCTCAGCCTCCCAGAGCGCTGGGATTACAGGTGTAAGCCACAGCGCCTGGCCCTAAGGTCAATTTTTAAAAAGTGAATAATATTTTTAAACTTTAAATAAAATCATGTGAAGGCCAAGGTGGGAGGATCACTTGAGGTCAGGAGTTCAAGACCAGCCTGAGCAAGAATAAGAATTTAAAAATGTAAGAGGTATTTATTATGTACTCAGCCACAAACAAACCTTAACAAACCCTATAACTAACATGATAGTCCAAGGGGAAATGGAAGCGTTTCTCGTAGGCTCAGTAACAATACTCATTCTCATTGCTCCTGTTCCCCTTTCTACCAGAGGACCCAGCCGCTGCACTAAGGCAAGCAAAACAAAAGGAATGAAGGTTGATAAGGAAGAAGTAAAACTGTCTTTATGAACAAACGACAGGATCATCTGTGTAGAAAATCCCAAAGAATCTGCAAAACTACTACTACAACCAATAAGTGAATTTAGCAGGGTTACAAGATATGAGATTAACAAACAACAAGCAAATGGCTTTTTATATACTAGCAGCAAACAATTGAAAAGTGAAGTTTAAAAACAATTCCTTTAACAATATTGCCAAAAACATAAAATAACCTAAGACAATATTTTTAAAGACCACTTCACTAAAAACTACAGAATAGCTGGGAGAAATTAAAGAATACCTAAATAAATATGGAGATATACCACATTCATGAACTCAATACTATTACAATGTCAGTTTTCCTGGATTGCTCTACAGATTCAATGCAATCCCAAGCAAATGCAAGTTGATGTTTTTGGAAAAATTTACCAGCTGATACTAAAATTTGTATGAATATGGCAAAAGACCTAGAATAGATAAAACAATTTTGCAAAAGCAGAAGAACTTTGGAGGACTTATGCCTGATTTTACTTACGATAATCGAGGCAGTATGATA